TCAGTTTGCGCCTGGCCCCAGATGCACACCGAGAACTGCCTTCACGCGAGGTCCTATGCTCAGATTGACCTCTTCTGCGACCTCACACGCGTTGGGAGGGAGTCGGGCTGCAGAGCCACTACATAAACCCAATTTAGTGCTCATTTGAAGGCCGAAGTCCTAGCTAACTTTTGAGATCCGTTGAGTGACCTTGTGACTTCTTGTGTGCTTCAGCGTGCTTCGAAAGTAGGCGAATTTGGCCACCTTTTTAGTTTGAGATCGCTTACATTGATTTCAGGAGCATTTTATTCCTCACTAGATGGCGGTTTATGTACGACAACCTTTTTTTCTGTTTTTGTTGTGAGTGCAAATTTGGCACAGTTGACGACGAATAAGCCTATGCTCCTTTGCAGACTGAGAACTGTGGTCGTAGACACGCGCGATGGGACCATTATGCGCCCAATATTGAGAAGGTGCCCGCCAGTTCTGTATGCGATGTGAATCGCAGGGCATTCATCACGGTAGGCATCCGTCAATATGAGTGAGGACATGAGACTGAAGATGCTAGGCGCGATGATACAGTCCTGTTTCACTCTGTCGGTCACTGCATATGCTTGGGATACCACACATCATCAAGGGCGCCTGTCGTCATCTTGTCGTAGAGCTGACGCACCATGTGAGTGAAACGCACAAGGCAGCCAAAATTCTGTATGATTATCCGCAGATCTTCTCGATTCATCGTGTCGAGGACTTTCATCAGATCCAGTAAGTTGGCGTAGACGTGAATTCGCATTTCCCGCAGCTGATGCGCGGCGATGACCGTGGAAACCGCTATGGCTTCTCGGTAGGAGTCCTTGTTCTAGATTACTGTTGAGCTGATTAAGGACGACCCAGACAAAGTCTTTTCCAGCAATATGGAGCAGCGAGATCTGTCTGTAATTGTCGATGCGCTGACTTTCCCTCTTCTTTTGTAACCGTGGACGGTTGTGGCGTCTTTAAAATCCTGGAGGATTTTTCATTGGTGTTATATCTCATGGAAGATCATTTAGAGGTGATTTAGAAGTTGTGGGCCGTTGCACCTGTAAATCTTAGCATAAATCGCGTCTGATTTTAGTGTTTGCCCACGGGAGTTTTGCTGCACGGTTCTGATGATTTCTTGGAAAGAGGGCGGGAGATTTAGGTTGGCACTGGTCCCCAAGTGAGGAAGTCAGTCGATGGCGATATGTTGGAGAGGCGACTGAGGATACTTTTGATGTGCTCGGCTCCGATCTTAAGAATTTATATCTTCTCAGAGAAAAGGGTAGTTCCGTCAGCGCTGAGAAGAGGAGCTTTTCCTTTAGCTGAGACAGTGCACAGCCTTGACAGAAATGACTAAGTTCTTCCACGATTTGCGATCCACTTAACCTTGGATCTCTTCGTTCTTGCGAGCGACTGACATGCACCACATTTCCTTTAGCTGCTGTTGTACAAGGCCGTGACTTCCGTGGAAGGATGGTTTGTGCAGCCGGTTCTTCTCTATTAGCATGTCACTGTTGTCTGTGACGTCTTGTCAAACCAGCCCTGGTGTTGATAAAGGGCGTGGGGTAGTGGACTGGATTGTGCCTCTTGGTTGGCCCCATCCCTACTCTTATGTATTGAAAACAGAAGGCCTTTTGAAGACAGAATGTTATATATGCAAATCAGAAGGCTACCTATAGGCAGGAGGTGTACTGAGGACGAGAGAGCAGTTCAAGTGACAAGTCGTGTTAACAAAGAGGGCTTTATGGCATGGCTTAAACGTAAGAAGCTGAAAGGTAGCCAGTCAGAGCAAAGAGAGGCTTAAACCCGCTGACCAGTAGTAACTAAGAAAGGCATGAACCTGCGCCCGTAAACTTATATGGTCCTTTGTTGCGCGCTCGCAGCATGAGGTCTCGACATTACGGTCGGGTAAACACAGCATCTCTCCACCCTCAAGTGGACAGAATCGGGAATGGTGAAAATACAGCGAATGTCTGTGTCGTGATAAATCCGGGGAGAGAATGAGGCAAGGGCCACCATTGCTTGATAAAATTCACGCTGTTCGACGTGTGATCAGTTCCAGCAATGAGTTCCAAAGAGTAGTTTTTGTTATCGAAAAAACCCTGGTAGGTATCGATGGTGGTGACGTCTCGAGATTCTGTATTTAGGACGACTTGGTAATGGGCATACTTCAAGTCCAAAGTTGTAAATCGGTGACCACCTGAAAGGGATACATACAGGTTCTAGACGTGTAGGGGTTGAGGACTGAGTTTGGTTGCTGAGTTGATACTGAGCTTGTAGTCACCAGAAATACCCACGGAACCATAGGATTGAAGAACAGGAACTACCGGGGCTGCCCATTCCAAATACTTTATAGGCTCAATAATTCCCGTTTTGTGTAGGTGATCTATCTTTTCATCGACCTCCGGTGCAAACGCATAGGAAATTGAAAGAGCTTTCAAGAATTTGGGCTGATATTCTGATTTACAATAGTATTTAACTGGCGGACTGTGGTTGTGCGTAGAAGAGTCGTCCCGAAATAATTATTTATGCTTCACTAACTGGGAATCTACAGCGGAGTTAACTCCAGTTCGATTTATGTAGGACAGCACCAAAGGAACGCATTTTATCCAGTCCCGTCCCAGGATATTTAGTTGTTGGCTTCCTCTGACCACGTGAACCGACAAGAAATGAAGTTTTCCATCGTGCTCAAATTCAGTCGTTAAGACCCCTTGAATGTCTACGGTCTGTCCAGTGTAACTAAGAAAAGTGCAGCGAGGCGGAAGGAGATGAAAAATTTCTGAAGTGAGGCCTCATTGATGATACAGCCAAACCAGTGTCGATTTTAAAGATCACGGGATTTGAAATATCTTCTAACCATCCCCAACTGGATAAGGGTAGATGGGATGCATGTTAGTGTTCGTCCGCTTTTTGGAAAAACACACTCTTTCGATGTTGCCCATTTTCTTAAAGAATCAACAAACTATCTTTTGGCGCTTACAGACTGAGCAACGGATATGATGCTGACCACAACCGTAGAAGGAGGGCAGTTTTTTGAAGGTACTCGTGGTCCTCATTTAGATAGAAACCCAACAGGATTGTCTAGGAAGATCGCTGGATCAGGTTTCAAGGAGGGTTAAAGTCCAGTGTTTGGCTGATGCAGCTGCTGGAAGTTTGGCTATACGCCCTCTTGATGACGGACGATAACACAGGCTGTCAGTCAGTCAGTATATTTGGGGGAAAAATAGGCTT